ACAATATGCAGATGCCTAAGGAATGAGAAGGACAACAACCTGCTTTGGACATGCCCTCAGTTTTGGTCACCAAATCTCTATAAAGAATATAGCAGCTAAAGAGGGAGTTTCCAATACAGTCTATGAGAATGGGAGACTCCCCTAGTGCAACATACTGAAAATCTAGGACAGTTTAGTTTAGAGAAGAGAGAAACAAGGGAGCATATGATACAGGAGAGGAAAATGAAGAATGGGACTTTTACATTCAAATGGACAAAGAGAGAACAGTTCCCAAGCAATAATATCTCTAGACACTTCATGTTTTAAAAGTGTTAATTGTCCTAAAATGAAGCAAATTATGAGCTAAATGGATTGGGGGGGAAATTGAGACAGGAAAATGGGAATGACAATTGGGAGTTCTTTAGTGGAGTTAATTAGGGAGCTAAAAAGCCTTGTGGTGAAACAAGTGGAAAACTTTGGCTAAAAACCTGGTTCAGTGAGAAAGGGGAGGCAGTAACTGGGGTGAGGGGGCGCGGGGGAAAAGGAAATATATATGGCAAGCAATACAAATTGGATGTTATCAAAATTGGAAAGGGTTGTTAAAAAGAAGAGGGAAAAATCAATGTTTGACAGACCTACATATCACAAAAAGGAGGTTATTAAGTACATTGAGAAGAAAAGAAATCCCAGAAAGGTTTTACACCAATTATGAGAGGCAGAAAGTAAACTTGTTAATGTTAAAGAGAATGTACATGTGTTCAAGAAATAGTTCTGTTCTGCGTTCAGAAAGAAGCAGAAGGAGGTATTCATATCACATGAGGTGATGAAACACTTTCCTCTCCATTAGAAGTCAAGGAGAATGTTAAACAGCATCCATAGCAGAACCTTAGAGTTATGAACACAAGAATTACAAACTGACGAATCCAACACACATCTCATTTGGAATCAGAAGTATGCAAGCCGGCAGCAGCAAAGTCTTAAAAAATAAGCAAATAGAGGACAATTCTGTGATAAACATAAAGTATTTAAAAAGGGGAAGTTAATAAGATTTCAGAAGGTCAGGAAACAATAGAAAAGCTGATATGTGATTAGTTTAAAATAAAAGTCTAGGATTATAATTAATGCCAGTCAACAAGGTTAATGGAAAATCAGTCTTGTCAAATAAATCTGATTTTATACTTTAATGAGAGTACACATTTGATTGATCAAGGAAACCATGCAGATGCAATAAACTTTGATTTCTATGAGGCATTTGATATAAAAGTGGAAAATATAACAATTAAAAATGAACACACTGCAATATCAGTAGAGCATATGTAAAATGGATATAAACTGGCTAACTAACAGAAAGCAGTTATCACTTGGCCATTGTCAGTGAATGGGGTGAGTGGGGTTCTGCAGGGATAAGTTCTAGGTCCACGGATATTCAATATTTTCATCAATGATCTGGATAGAATTAGAAAATCATTGAATAAAAAATCTGTGGATGCCCCAAATATTGGCAGAATGGTCTTTTCAGGATCCCCACATTCCATAAGAAAGTGCCCTTGCTTCTGGGTCTGAGAGAATAATTTTGGATTTGATGGTATTAAAACATTTTATTTGCATGGGTCTAGCTCACTAGACGCTTTTACCTCTGCACATGGCATTGGTGAAACTGACTGTGTCCAGTCCTGGGGTCCACATTTCAAAAAGGATGTTGAAAAGTTGGGGAGGGTGCAGAAAAGAGCTACAGAAAGATTTGAGGATGGGGAAAATGCAGGACAGTGAGAGACTTAACTTATGAAAAAAAGGCAATCAAGTGCAGAATTTCATGGGGATGAAACAATGGGTAATGATGGTCTCTGTAATCTAGCAGAGAAAGGCAGAGCAAGACCCAATGGCTGGAGGCTGAAGCCACAGACATCCTTGTTTGAAATAAGGGCCAAATCTTTAGCCCTGAAGGTGATTAATTATTTGGACACACCACAAAGAAAAGTAATAGATTCTCCAACTCCCTATATCTGCAGATCCAGACTGGATGCTATTCTGGAAGATATCGTGGTAGTTCGGGCAATGGAAGAATTCATTCATTGGCATCATACTGTCTACACCAGAATTAGACTGATCTATCTACATCTCTCAGGGATGTGGGGTTTCTTCCTGTTCACTATGTTTCATACAAATAAAATGCAGTTGTGGGTTGCATTAGCATAGGACTAGCATGCAAGTCACAGGAGGTGAGCACTGCTCTACTTGGCACTGGTTAAGCCTCAGCTGGAGCACGGTGTCCAGTTTGGGTCACCCATGTATAGGAAGGATGTAGAGAAACTGGAAAGGATCCAGAGGAGAGAGACAAAGATAACCTAAAGGATGTAATAAAAACCATATGAGCAAAGGCCAAAGGAACTGGGTATGTTTAATTTGGGAAAGAGGAGATGGAGGAGGGTCATGACAGCCGTCTTCAGATACTTGAAAAGCTGCCATAGAAAAGGTGGAGAAAAGTTGTCCTCTCTTACCACAGCGGGCGGGACAACAGTGGATTGAGTTCAAACTACAGTATAGCAGACTAAAATGAGATCTCAGGAAAAAGTTCCTAACTGTGAGACGAGTAGGACAATGGAACAGATGCCTCGGGTGGTCATGGAAGCTTTTTTGCTGGAGGTTTTCCAGAGGAGGCTGGAGCCATCTGTCCTGGATGGTTTAGACACAACAAATCCTGTATCTCAGCAGAGGGTTAGTCTATATGACCCCTGTGATCCCTTCTCACCCTGTGGCTCGATGATTCCATGATATAAAATCATAGTGTAGACCAGTTCTTAGTCACACACAAGTCTTTGAGTTTAATTCAGGATAATTCGGTGAAATTTAATGGCCTGTGTTGTACAGTAGGTGAGACTGGAGGATCCAATGGTGTCTTCTAAACTTAAACCCTATGACTCTATCAATGAAGAAAGTAGATCAGACATTTATATTTACTGTGTCTCGAAACACACACACAAGGGAACATTCAATTGCATTGAAAGTCTGAATATATAACACTGATGAAAGAAAATTGTTTACATAATCCATAATTGGAATGCAGAACTGCTTGCCACAGACATGACTGGAGCAAAGAGCTTAGCTAAATGGGATTCACAAAAGGATTGGTCATTGTAGGTGATGCTGCTGGCACCAATGTTAGTTAAGGCTGTCTGACAACTTCTATAAGGACAACTCTTTTTCAGTTTCTTATAAGTTTCTAATTTTCCATGTTGGGTGTCTGTTGAATACTTCTTATAATTGTTCCACTGAGGAGCCTTAGCACCTCCATGATTTCCCGTTAGTGCGACCAGAAAGTAAGTGTTGAAAATCGGGACAGATGTGGGGGACAATAGGTACCTATATTAGAAAAAAAATCCTGAATATCGAGACTGCCCCCAAAAAACCTGAGACATCTGGTCACACTAT